TATTCAAAATTGGATGGCTTTATGTACCGTTGTTTTATCATAATGTGAGAAACGTGCATACATTTATTCATATTCCTCATTATTTAATTCCCTTAAATATAATATAGGGCTATAATATTTGGTGGCAACGATTTAAAAAGGAGATTCGCCGTTTATAGTGAATCAACGCAAAATGCTAAAACAAAATTAATAGCCCTTCTGGACAAATTGCCCCTTTGGGCTAATAAAGGCAAAACACGAAAGTAACTAGACACTCAATAAGTTTTGGACATCCTTTAGATAAAATTATACTTTTCATGCATTTTGGAAATGGATTCAACTAATGTTTTTCGTGTAAGAATATTCTATTTTGCATTATTTCTCCTATTTTTCTATTTTGTAGGAATGTTTTTAGCATAGCTTTCGAAGAAATATCATATTTCTGCATTCTTTCTCTAACTCGCTCCATATATGTTAGAGAGTATTTAGGTTCTGACAATTTGAAGTATTACTGACAACTTCAGGACAGTTTATCACAAACGAACATTTATTTAGGATCGTTATATTGATAGAGCTTAAATGTATTTTGCATTTTATTTAATTTATTTAAATGTATTTGCCAAATTTTATCGCACATGCTTTCAGATTTTCATTAAAAGTATTCCAACCTTCATACTTCTCCATATTATTTTTTATAAAAATTATATTTTCCATCCCAGAGGCAGCGAAATATCCCCATATCATTATGCATTCACTCTTGTACCTAATAGTAGCCACAAATATTTCGGATTCAATATTTAATTTGGCTTTCGCCATAGAGCAGTTATTCGTTCTTCCTACCTAACTATATGAAACTGTAACTCGTCTGCAAATATAACATTGTTTTAGTAAGATAAATCTTTGCTTACCATAGATTTGCCAGCACTAGGCGTATTTTCTTTGTTGACGAAAAATTTCCTTCTTGCTGATGCTCCATTATGACCATATGTTCTAATGATTCTTCTAATAGTTTCAGAATTAACTTTTATTTCAAATAGTTCTTCTAAATCTGCTATAAGTTTCGCACATAAATACCTGAGTTTTATTTGATTCTTCTTAGAATAAATCTCTGATTCCTTCTTATTAGCTTGGAATGTGGTCCAGACTTCAGTGCATTTTCATTATTTCCTTGCAATTTTTTGCATATTTCAAACACTTTAAAATAAACAGATAAATTTCTAACAGAATTTTTAATTTTTCGTTTGTTTGTAGCATTCTGGCACGTTTGCTTCAGAATGAAATAGTCAATATAGTTTTATAAACAAGTAATAATTTCCAAATGCAGACGATAGTTCTTGTGATGTATTTCCGTTTAAAACAAAAATTTATAACTAGAAACTTCATCTACCAAAGTATATCAAACGTTTGAGTTCTCTGAATCATTATGTAAGTAACAGACTGAAAACGGTTGTTTGAATAAATTATTCTGTTAGAAGAAATATTTTGATGATACTTAATTTCCAACAAGCAAAGCTTAAAATAGAGAATAAAATATATCTGAGGAAAACATTTGGAATCCTTGTTTCAATTTTTAGAGCAGGATCTATGTAAACAAATTAAAGAAATACAAGTATCCGAAAGCAACTGTGAAACACTGTACATTGCACCCAAATGAATATCTATTCCACGTTGCCAATTTTGCATGTAGAACTTATATATGAATCCCTAATTTCTTTTCTACTATTACATAATGAAGAATACGTTTGTATGTTCCTGGCATTGCGTAAAAACGGCGGGAACTATTTTAGGAGGCTGGCAGCGCAAGTGGTTAGTTTATTAAACAACGCAGCTAATTGAATTAACTAAACAAGTTATTCTCATTAGAAATATTATAACGTTACCTCTTAACAATGACAGAAGTAATTTCCGTTAAAGCAGAGAAAATTCGTTTAAAATAAAATCAGCAAAAATTTAGGAATTGTATTTCGAAAAGGCTAGCATAAATTATTTAGTTCATTAGGTGTTTAATTAACTATTAAAATATTGTTTCTTTTATTTAATTTTATAACAATACTTGTTCCAAACTCAAAAACTTGAATATTTTGCTTTCAGAGTAAAAAAAAAAAAGTTCCACTTTGCTAAGCTTTATTTATGATGATATGATAACGTCAAAATAATTTTAATTTCTGTATCAATTAGAGGAAACATTTTATAATTTAAGCTTCAAAAATGCTAAAAATGACTGAAAAAAATGCATTTACTTTGTAACACTTAAAGATGGGGGGTTGCATTGGATGGAGGGTTTATTTTAAAGAAAATGAGATAGTTGATTCAATTTGAGACAATCAGAAATTCTTGTTGGAAGATTACAAGAAAACAAATTAAGTCCAAATTTCAATAACAGCTCTCATCATAAAATATCTCATAAAAATAAGGTTCTGTTAGAAACATTAAAGTTTAATTTAGGGATTTCGTTTAATCTATTTAATCAAAATTGTTTGTCTTCAGAGCAAGAACAAATGAATCATTAGTAATATAAAATTGCAAAATTATGAAACAGTTTATAACATATTGCAGCCGTTGCTATTGGGGAATATTATCTCCGTTTCTTAACTTTTTTGCAACATCAAATTATATTAAATTGTTATTCGAAAAAATCAAGACGTTGCTTCTATTCAAAAATTTAATTTAGTTGTTTCAACATTTGCCTTTTTCTTTCAGATTAATGCTTCATCGCTCTTTCATATTAATGCTTATCCGAAATTACCTCTGAAACCTGAAACTTTTACGATATTTCAGTCAACGGTTACATTTATGCATTCGCACATACACTATGCTCTTTCGCATAAATATAATCTTGAAAATTGCATAACGTCTGTTGGTCGCTCTTAGATAAAAAGTTCTTGTCTTCAACCTTGAATTATAATTGCCGATAGCTGAGTTCCACACCAATTAAGTTCTCAACCAACTTCGCGTTAATTTACCTTTGAGTAACTGTTACTTTAAATTATCTCGCCACAAGTTGTTAAGCTGAGTTATAAGCATAAGGTTTGCTTTGCTTTCTGTTCCTGTTTAGTTATAATGAAGAGTCCTTCCCAAGTTTCAGTTGTTATTTATATTTAGCGATAAGCCGCTTAAGGTTTGACAAAAGTTTAGCTAAACGAATTTAACTCTACATAGTAACACAAAAAATATTAAAGAATATTCACTATTCACAACTAAAAATGCTAATATTATTAGAAATACAGTGAGGATATAAATAATTTAAAATGCTGTATTATGAATATACAGGTTGGCACCAGGTCTTACAGCCTTAGATAATGACACTAAAACCTTTTCCAATTCTAAAACTACTTAAAATAACGCTATATATATATAGCGTTATTTTAAGTTATATATATATATATATATTTAGTATATATATATATATTTTTTTAAGTATATATATTATTTTAAGTATATATATATATATACTTAAAATATAAAATATATATATACGTGTGTGTGTAAAATAAATTTAATAATATATATAAAATCAGTTTCCGAGTAAAAATTACAAATAACAAAACGCTCATAAATTGATCGCAGCAAACCATAATTCCTCAAATATTTGTCCTAGGTGTGTATTTCCAATCACAGAAATTTTTAAAGTGATATAAAGAATTTGATGAGAATAATTTCAACAGATTTTATGAAACCAAATTCAACTGCATGAGAAAGGGTGTTTTAAAATTAAATGCTAACTTCTTACATAAACCTAAATCGAAAATTCCAATAAATAAAACATTTATTATGCTTTAATTATTTAAAAGGTTCTATACTGTAAAGTGCAAAATTCTAGAAAATATGTTTAATAACTATTCTCAGAGAACAAATTGCAAATTTGTAGTTGCTTTGTAGTAGTTATCAAAAGTCTTAAATTAAATCGATGATAGCTATAAAAAAATTACCTACTTTAAAAAAAATATCGATGCGAATTTTTTACATAAATGATCTGTAAGTCTATCTGAGTCTTTAGTTAAGACAAAACGCACACGAAGTCTGTTTGCCTAAAATTCATACTAATTTTGGCCAAAATCACTTCAGAATTGGAAGTCAAGTAGTTCTTTTCCGACCAACAGCCTGTCGAGAGAACTTTTTGATCGACATCAGATCTTAAATGACAAGACAGGACAGGAAGAAGTGGGCACAACACCAGAAATTCACCAAATTGTTTTACATTTATAGCGGCTACTGTACAGTAACGGCAAAGATATTACAAATGTTCGCGTCTTCTCCAAAATTCAAATTTTGGTCCAGCGATCTGTGTAGTCAGCCTTCTCTAATCACCATACAGTTCAGGGTGGTTGCATATAAATTCACGGATTATTTATCTTTAATCGTTATGAACGCTTTAAAGATAAATGTTTATTAATCCGCTGATGATGCATTAAAAACTGCAATATTCATAGTTGATTTTTTTTCTCTACGAAATTTGCATAAAAATTTAAGTTTTATTTTCATAGAGCGACGCTGCCCATCAATATGAAACCATTTTATAAGCCTCCGTACCCTATTTTCAAACCTATCTAATAAAATTTAAAAATTTAGGATAAATATTTAAAATCCTTCTAATTAATTATATCGAACATCGCGTATAGTCAGTCTAATTACACATTTATATATCTTTTTAGCAGCAAACGTTCATCTCTTACAGCCCTTCTTTTTTTTCTATAACATAATCGTTAATGACACACTATACAGTAGTAAATATGTAAAAAGCAATTTAATGTACTGAAATTATATCTTACATATTTATAACAAGTGACGAAGAATTGCCCGTATAATGGCCGATAATAGTTATAAGCGCGATAAATAATGTAAAATAATGAAAACTAAGTGAGCTAAATGTCAAAACGAGAAGAGACGAGCTGAAAAATAAAGGAATTTAAGAAAAAGGAAAAGCGACAGTTTAATGCATCCTGATTAATCGAAATTTAAATCACAGCAAATTTAAAGTTCACATTTTAAACTCAATCTATATAAATGTAGTTTACACTTACCTAGTTCTCGAGGATATGAAGCGGAAAATGGAGAGATGATGGGTTGAGTTGTTTATAATTTTCTTCGAAGTAAGTTCCCGGTGGATCAGTGAGGACTCTGAAATGAACGTCAGCCTTGTGAATTAGATAAAACTACTTAGTAAGAGCACTTATAGATAAAGCTTGGTAAACGTACTGAAACGGGATAGTTTGTTCAATCCTTTTTTATCTCTATAGTTCAGTGCAACTCCGGATTTATTGCATCGCTAGTAAGCAATTCATCAGATACGGATTCTTTTTCCTCAGATAATGCGCAAAAAAAGGAAGAAAAAGTAAAACTATAAATAATGAGTCTTGTTATTTGGATAAAAAAATGCATTAGAAGGAATGTTGATAAATATGCAGACTTCGTCAATCTCTGTCTCCTTTCTCCCACGTATGCTATCGTTATGCTAAACTTTCCTATTCTGGTGTCAATTGTCTTCCGCAAATCTTTTATCACATTAAAATTGTTGATGCATGTGACATGCAATTAAAACCTTTTTTTAACAAATGTAAATGTTCAGATGCTAGAAATAAAGTTATATGAGCATAGAACCGAGTATAAAAACCTAGTCCAATTGTAGCAGTCGGGAATAATATTTCTTTTTTATTCCCCTCTGCCAACCTATATATATAAGTAACGGAGGTAATATTTTCGGTCCAAAAATTCGATAATGATTTTTCAGTGAATAAGCACGAATTGGGGTCCCCACAACACGTTTTAACGGTCATTAGAATGATGTCTGAAAGTAGATGTGTGATGATTTTTTTTGTCTTGTATGAAATTCCCAAATTTCCATTTTTCAGATTTCATCTTTCTATATTCATATAAATCATTGACTCTCACTTTGATTTGCTCGTTGCATCTTTTTCACCATTTATAAAAATTCCTTCCCCACCTCTCTCTCCATTTTCAGAGCTAGGGAAACAAACATTAATTTAGATTTAGGTGTTTTTTAATCTCACAGCAAAAAGCAGGTTATCAGGAATCAGGCTAACCGCGTTTCCTCCTGAAACTATTAAATCCCCCGATTAAGAACTTTTGCTATAAATAGTTGATTAGATTCTGGGTAAAATTGGTCAACCGAAATAGTACTTTACTTGAAACCGTTAAGGCCTGTTCCAACTAGTGAGATTTTGAGACCAAGAAACGCGCATAGACTTGCCGCCTCGGTTAAGGGGGGGGAGGAATAAAATATTTTTACCTCTAACCAATCTACATATATAGGTAAGAGAAGCGAGGTTTTTCGGTCCAAAAATTCGATAACGCTTTTTCAATGAATAGGCAAGAATTAGGCTCTCATTACATATTTTTACAATGATGTCTGTCTGTTTGTCTATACGTGTGTGACGACATTTTCCGCCCACAATAACTCTTGCATCAAAATACAAAAAGTTCCATTTACAATATTTAATAGCTTTCTGCAGTCACATAAAGATTTGATTAGATTTCGGTAAAATTCGACAATCGGAAGTGTTACTTTGCTTGAATCCCACAACAGTTTTTACCAAAAATTATATTAAAATATAATCCAAAACTTTTAGTATAAATGAGACTTTTAAATCAATGGGAACGAGATATTAGATTTTGGCTAAACTTGATGAACCGGAAGTTGCAACTTGTGAACCGGAAGTTGCACTTAATATTTGTTTTAATAGACTTTCGTAAAAAAAAATATATTATGAGGTAATCCAAAACTTATCAAATTTGGCATTTAAAATAAGTATATTATTTATAGAAAACATCATATTACACTTATAAACATTTAATATATTCTTAGAATTACGCGTAATGCAATTAGAATGAGCTCATTATGAAGACGATCTCTCGTTATGAAGCAATTAAATGCATTATTCTCTATCCTCAGTAAGTTCGTTTCATTTTTGTGTAGAATTTCTTTTCAAAGGATGATACACCCAAATGTTAGCGCTATGTAGGATTTTTAAATTTTTAAAGAAATAATATAGCGAATATAATAATAAAAGATGTTTATGGCAATACATAATACTCTGTTTGGAATTCTAAAAATATGCTGTTTTTAAAACTTTTACGATTTTTAAGTCGTTGATTTGTCAATCGACATACCATACAACCAGAGGCTACACTTCGATCGATGCGATATTTTGAAATCAAAGCATGAGAACTGATGTATATATGAGCACATATAACTATTATTATCTATTGTGTGTGAGAACAGAATATTAAAAATGAGTATTGTTTATAATTAACACTGATCCATGAAAATTATAAACAAATTAGATTTTATTTACAAACGGTCAACCGGAAAGTTGGTAGTTTATTTGAAGGTCACTGGTATTCCGCCTATTCCATGTCTTAACGTGGAATTGGGAAGTCATGTGTTAGCCACAACTGATTGTTTTAAATTATTACTTATTTATTTATTTTCTTGTAAGAAATGTTCCCCTCAATGTTAATTCAGACTCAAACATATGCAATATATTTTACTTTATTAGCATTTATTGAATATTGAAGGTGTATAGTATAAATCCCTTGCTCCTTCTCCTTTCCAGCCTGGTGTTAGTTTACTTACTCATTTATTTTAAATTCTCCCCTTGGTAACAAACAACATAAAACAACATAAAAATATATTTTAAGCAGCTATTAAATTAATTTAGGTGCACGCAGAAAGTACGCTTCTTGCTTTAGCATAAAACAATTTCTTATTGTAAACCAATCAAAATCAAAAATCAGAATAATTAAGCTTTCATTTTTCCGTAACTCAAATATGCGTTTGTTGTAAAGCAAGTGTGGAAATTTTATTCGTTCGTTTATTGTGTTTACTTTCGACAATTATTTACAGATAAAAGAACAAAATATCTTACTTTCCACTAAAACTGAACATCAAAAATGACGTAACCGATCAACTAGAAGTTTGCACATAGGGAGGATACACATGTGCAGCGTAGATGCAAACTCCACTAACCATCACTTCCTGTAAATGCAGTTTAAGAGAAATAAATGCTAATAAATGTTGAAATTGTACTTGCTTGCCTTTTCCGCGTGCAAATATTTTATGTTATGATGTCAACGAAACAATAGTCGTACTATAGGGGCGTCGACATAAATCGCAAAAATTTTATAGCATACGAAATGAAGTTTATCCTACTGAAAACTTTTTGTGTTGGAAACCGGTGGACTATCGTAAAGCGAACTCAGTAACATGAAGAATCCCAAAGACTAAGTTCACACTGTCCAAAGAGAGAGACAGACATTTTGTTTGCATAATTATTACGGATTGTACAACCACAACACACACCGTAGCTCAAAAATTAGAATGTATTGCATAGCTACACATTCTAATTTTTGATGTACAGTTCGATGTACCTTTGCATGTACAGTTCGATGTCGTCTGTAGCATCGAAGAAATTTTGCAAGATTACCAGTACTTTAGCTACATTTGATAGAACTCCACCGGCACCTTCATTTTCACTAATGCATAGAACTCTACGGATGGAAGGACAGATGGTATAAATTATCTTTTTAAGCAAATTCTGCTTCTATCTACAACTCTATAATGATTACATCCCTGTTTGCCGGTACCACAATGAAAGGCTGACAGCGACCTGCTATACACATCAGCGTATCATTTAGACAACCGATCTTATAATACGGGTTGTCATTCAGTTCTAATCTTGCTTACGTCTAGTAAACATTCTTGGTATGCTGAACAGCCCCATTTACATTTCTGAGGTTTTGAAGCTTGTTGTTTTCCTTTATCTTCATTATCTCAGCGAGGAAAGTTACCAATAAGATAATGTACCAGTAAGATACCTTGTAGCACAAAATTCCAACAATTCTTCGATGACCCAATATGTCATATTTATTCTTTACCTTTTGTATTCGACCGCACAACGCCTCATACATCCCAGATTACTTGCGGCTACGGCAGGTGAACTTTGGTAACATATGAAAATGCATAGACTGGAATACCCCAGACATACATCTGCTTCTCTATGGACCAATTACAGTTTAAAAAAGATGTCGATTTTTTTTTACGTTTCGTAAGTCAAGATTAGCTGTATCTAAAATCACATTACCGGTGTACCATAAGTTACATAAGTGATACATATGGGTTTGATAGCTCTTGTCTTCTGCAGAATTTCTCTTCAAATGCTTAAATGTATTTTTATTTTCATAGAACCATACAAAATACACGTTGAATTAAACAAAGAATAAGAATTCACATACAAAATATAAGGCGACGTGCACCAAAAGACATGTAAAGTAGCTGGCAATTATACAGTACATGGTAAGAAATTTCCTTTCGTAAAAATGGAATTCTCATTAATCGTGAAACATTTATCTTGCCTAGTTTTATAAAGAAAGTAATTGTTATGGGTAAGTATGTCTCTTAAAAGAAACGAAGAGCAACAGTCTTTAAGAACTTTTCACTAAATATTAATAACCTTCATATTTGCCCAGTATTGTAGGTTAATCTATATGCCATATAAATTAATTTAATATCAGCTTAAAATGTATCGTAATGCATTTTCTTTTTCGTAATAAACACGTAAATAAATAAGAAATAAACACATAATAAAACGTAATAAAACACGTAATAAAATAAGAAAAAACACGTAAATAAATTAACAACAATCTTAATATTACTTGACATAGAAAAGGAAAAAATACAGTTCGAAGAGCTAAAGTTCTGCTTAGGAAAAAAAAGCATTACAGTCTGATTTTATACATCCAATAAATTTTAGACGCTGTAAATAATGAATTTAACAACAGTATTATATTTTAGTTTCGTTAGAAGTCTCATTGATATATTGTTGCATTGTTCAAAACGGAATGATCTCTGGTTCATAAAAAATTTTATTTAATCCTGCAACTGAAACTTTGTCGATAAAGAGAAATCCATTTTGAATTACTGTTCTGAGACAACGAGTTTCGTTCTTACAGTAAGAAATGAAAGTGTTGAAATAAATCTTTCAGGTAAGCTTCTCCCAATCCTTTCTAATCCTGATATATGAGGCCCAAAAGACGATTTTCTCTTCGCCCACTTGCAAAACTATTCATGCAAGGGAAGAGATTGATATCGATTCCGTAATCGAATCTGTAATTTGCTGATGAGTGCGATATATTCGATAATACTTTGTCTCTGCCTGAGGCAAAACTGATTTCGTTCAGCGCAGATCTTTACTTTGATGTAACCAATCGCTATTTTCGATAGAAATTTCGAAATGTCGCAAAATAATAGTTTGTTGATGGTATTAGCAAAAGCTCGGCATGAATGCATTTTGTTCTTTTTATGATCGATGTTAATTTAGGTATATACGGTGGAAATTCCCCACTTTCATGAAATCATAGTAAAGATTATATATTCTATGAAAATATCTTTTAAAAATATTAATAATAATGCAATGGAATGGCCTTTCTCTTCACTCAATAAACTCAGATATTATCTTGAAATTCATAAAACTAAAATACATTTTAAAAATTGCTATTTTCTGATGAAAAAGTCTATACACTGTTTCATTAAAAAACAACTGTTGCTACCTGAAGCAAAGGTCTCAAAAAGTTACTAATTATATTTAGGATGCATATTAAAATTAGTTAATTAACTATTCTAAATATTTCAATCAAACAAAAAATTGACTTTTCATAGATCGCTAATTTGGTGGCATATATTTTAATATTATTTAAGATTTTAAACAGTTTAAATTTTCTTGGCAGTTTCTCATGAAAATACACTACATTTTGAACAGAGGCAATAAATTATACAGAGATAGAGGTATACGTTAGTGTAAAATTTAAGACAAAGGGGAATACAAGAATTGATTGACGCAGATTATTTACATTTTTGAGTATATTTAATAAAATACAATTTTATATAATTTTTTTTAATCTAAAATTCTAGGTCTAAGTTTTTTTTTGGGAGAAGTAGAAGGATCTAATTTCACATTATAAGGTATTTCTCCCGCCTTTTTAGCATGACTTCGTAGTGGAGTGGTCTGCACTCTGGGCGCTTATCCTAGAGGTCTCTGGTTCGATTCCCGGAGAGGGCGTTGCTCATTTTTATCACTCCTGCTTTAAAAATAACCTAATGACCCTGCAATATAAATAATGGTAATCATTATTTTTGTTATGTGTGGTAAAAAAATGGTTTGGTCTATTTAATTATGACAAAGCACCCGAAAACTGTCTGCCTAACAACAGTGATGCCTCCGATTAGGACTTTCAGATCTGGCTTGTGTACACGCTACAAATGGGGAAAACCATGAAAACACCCATGCAACCAGCACTTGGGATCGAACCCAGTCGAATTACTAGTGTTAGCGATTTTATCCCTCTGTCGCTAATAAGCGGTTTAAAAAAAATATTTTCTAAAAATAATATTTTATTGATTACGAAGTAAATCCTTTTATTTCCTTAAATATTGATCTTAAATTACTACTTCCAGCTGGAAAATGTTTTTTTAAGTAACAACAGAATTTTTCAAAAAACCGAAGAATTGTGAACGAAGAGGCTCTGAAAAACAGGATCAATTTTTTATATGATCACTGCAAAATAAAATTTCTAATAAGTAAAATATTCACTGTGCTTGATTATTTAAATGTGTCTATTCTATACAATTAAAAATTCAAGATTACGCACTACAAGTCGAAAATATTCAATGGCTAATAGACATTACAAATCGAAAATATTCAATGGCTAATAGACATTACAAATCGAAAATATTCAATGGCTAATAGACATTACAAATCGAAAATGTTCAATGGCTAATAGACATTACAAATCGAAAATATTCAATGGCTAATATACATTACAAATCGAAAATATTCAGTGGCTAAATAAAGTGATTTAGTTCGCACTTCCATACTTATTATTAACATAATTAAAGCCTATAGAAAAAGTATTTAGCAAGCAGATGCAAAGAAAAAAAAGAGGTCCGCATTATGGCGATTGATTTTTTGCTAATTAAAAATCAGTTTTACAGTTATTAAATTTCTAGAGACATTTATTAAGCATTCACTGTGTTATGTTCAATAAATGACTTAAAAATATTTATTAATCATATCTCAGTGAATTTTGGACAAAAGAAATATAGATCTGTTTGTTATTTTTTCCAACAAATTAAAGCATAAAGAAAGAATATTTTCCTGTCTGAATTTTTTATTCCACACCACGACTCCGTAATGTTTTATATGACAGCTGCTAGTTCTAATTTACTTGTCCGATGGTCTATTGCTGGGACTGCCAGCTACGATTAGAAACCGATCTTGAGATGCAACTGATTTTTCTGTGATCTTACTTCGATTTCCTGATAATAGTCACAATATGTAAATTGTTTCTGGATTTCAAAGTCTCTGTTGTAGAGTCATTAGAATTTTTTCGATGTCAGGAAACTGAAAAATTACATTATGCTCTCTCCGGAGTTCCTCCCGATTACGCGTCGAGAGTGTTTCCTGTTATGCCAAGAATTACGCAGAAAGGAAGGAGAAAGTACTTCACGTGCGCATTGTCCACCACCTTTTTATTTTGGTGGTGCAAATGTAAAGTCATTTTTAGAATTTTTCGAAACCAGGAAACTGAAGACGTCTGCAACGGTCTTACCGGAATTCGAACTTCGGAACTCTCGTATACGCGTCGAGGGTGTTTCCAGTTATACCATGAAGCATGTGGAAAGGAGGGAGGAAATACCTTATATTGTTCTGAAACATTCAGTCAAATCGCCACTTCTGTAATTAAAAACCCTGCTTCTAAACAGCTGACAGTTTTTTATTTCAAATATTCTTTCAAATGATACTTCGAGGTCACAAAAATTGTTTTAACTTGTAAACACTAAAAAAATTAAATTCAAACCCCGAATAGCAGACGTCGTGGCGAAGTATATTTGCTCGTGTCCTCACTTCTGGTGACCTCTGGTGACCTTTTAATATGTAAGCTGTGCAAGCTATCTATATGCGAAATTTGTAATCTATGCAATTAAAAAATACCTAAATTGAGTAAAAGAAGAGACAGATTTTTAATTTGATGTTTATAAAAAGAATACACATATTAAAATTGTCTTATATTGCATAATCATAATTTAACTTGCCGTTGTTTATTTCATAAAAGAATGAAACAAATTGCTTAGTTTCCTAATTAAATTTCATTTACTCTTCTCCAAAGTGCACTATGTAAACTCCTTCGTTAATATGATCCTTTAGTTAATTGCGGATAAGGCAGCAAACCTTTATATATTGCTTGCTTTTGATCTATTTTAATTCATATTTAATGTACCGAATACGATTTATTTACCTTTAATTCATGCAAAAATTTCATTACTTCATCTTCAAATTCGCAAAGCGTTTTCTTGGTAATTTTTCATTATTTATTAAAAGTCTGGGATAATATTTTTCATCATCTTCATTTTGTTTTCATTGCAGAGCCTCCGAAAAAGCGGCCGACTCCTCGCCCAAAATCTGTCACAATTCCTACGGATGATATCCATGGGAACCTACCTCCAGGTAATTTAACATTTACTTAAAAAATTTATATATCTTATTAAAGAATTTTAAAAAAGGAACACTACTGCATTTACGTAGAGTTATTTCTTGAAATAAAATTTGTTATACACTATATGCGAAATTTGTAATCTTATCCGTGATTTATTATCCGTGATTTCTGTGTAATCTGCTGTAATATTCACTTCATGTTTCTGTTATACAGTCTTTCCTGGATTGTTATATTTTCGACTTGATACATTTTATTACTTTGTTTTGATTAAAAATATTTTATCTGATCACATATCACAGACGTTTCCGTGTAAGTAAAGCTGGAATATTAATATGTTAATCGAAATTTATCTAAAGCTTCTTTACTTTTTCCTTGCTGGTTATAGATACAAACTGTGGACATGCCGTTATGTTTCTTTTCTCCTAGCGTAGCTATAAATTATTGTTCTCTAGATCTAGTAGCTCCAGACATCTATGGTAATACGTGTGTTTGGCTCAATTTCTTTAAGAATTTAGCTGGAAACACAGACATACATATAATAAAATAGCGTCAGCGTTTGAAATAACTATCAGGCTTTTGATTATTATTAAGGTAATAATAGATCATCTGGCCTTTTTGAAATTCATTTGTTACTCCTCCATTAATATACCCCTTCATATTATACGAATACATTGTTACTATACGAATATAACTCATATAAAGTAAGATGAACTATACAGACATTTTAACAGCTATATTTAGACAAGTGGGACAAAGATTTCAAGGATTTTTGGACTGGCAATAAATATGATAGCCGAGCGAGATCTGATTCATTCTCAAGGCTTTATACGAACCTTAATACCAAATTTAAAAGCTATGCATATCAACAATAATAACGAAATATTTGCTGTTAATGGTCTCAAATGCTAAAATATTTTCAGAACAAAATACAGTATTCATACAACACAACTCATCCTGCTCCAGCCTGTTAGATATCTTACTGCTAACGAAGGTAAAGTTAGTCAACTATAAACTAACGTTTCATAAATACTGATCCTCCGCTTTACTAAAGTCAAGCGCCCCATGTGAAAAAGCATAGCACAAAACAGCAATTACAGTTAGTTTTTGCGAAAGAAATTTTTTAACATTCTTAGACCACAAATAAAAGTAAATAAATATTGTAATTTGACTTTCGTATTCAGATCCTATTTTAATACCTAAAGCAATGTAACATTAAGCATTTACAACAAGCTGATCATTTTAAGCATTCATTTATTTTAGATATATAGAACATAAAGATATGAGATGTGTAATTCATCTGGCACTATAAAATCATGTACTTAAAAAGTAATTGTGTAAACACGTTTTTGACACGTTTACTTTGTGTCAAAAATAATTGTGTGACTTTATAATTGTCATTCAAAGTACTATGCCAAAAGGTGAGAAAAAAATGCTGCGAAATTATTCCATCAAAAATGAACATTGTATAATGCATTTTTATAATAATCAAGAAACTTAGTCATTCAAGACGCAGTTATTAATTTTTTTTTCGTTCTTGCGCAGAAGGCCTTAAAATAAATATTCTCTCAAGGAAAGTGGCAGTGATTTCTATTTTGTCAATTCGCGTAATGAAAACATACACTTTCTTCGATGCTGTTAAAAACTATGAAATTATAAATAACGATGCATGGAACCTCAAACAATATCGCAAGCAAAATTGATGTAATAAATATACAACCAAATAAAAAAATATACTGTAATAAATAAACAGTGTAGTTATCAAGATAGCACCTTAAGCTAAATGATTATGAAATTTTATAATGGAAAATGCAGAAGATAAAGCGAGAGTGAAGATTTTCGTTTATCAATGTCATGTTATTTATGTCTACATTATCTCTGCCAGACCAAATGGCACTTCCCCACAATGACGTGGGCGAGGGTAAGCAGAAGGCGAATATAAGCAGCATAATAATATCAGATTTTTGACCGTGTCAAAAATAATTGTGTGACTTTATAATACGAATACAAAGTTCTACAACGCACTGAAAGTTGTTACATTCATCTTTTAAGAGCTTCGTAACAAGAAATATCTTCATATCAGTCGCGCTACCATAGTTGGGAAACAGACAGTTGTTCGCATTATTATCCATGTCAAAAGGATCCATGTACAGGAATGTTTTGGACTTTCCTGTAAAACAGAACTGAAATTCGATGATAACTTTCGTTCTTATCCTACCCATATCATACCATTGTCTACTTCCATTTTGGATGTCTGTTAACTGATTGAGCAACAAGCATAAAGATAATGTTTTACTTGTATAATATGAAAACGAAATGATTGCTAAAACAACAACAATTCTAAATAACCAATCAATAAAATACGGATATTTATCCTCTTTTTATTACATATGCATATAGTTATTGTTGATAAATATTTCATTTCATATCACTTAATTTCTAGACTCGAACATTAAATAAGGAGGTTTATAAGAGCAGACTGCAGGTAGGTAATTAATCTGAGAAATTAAATTAATTTGTTTTAAAAAAGATGACTACCAAATTTTATCAGCTCGGCACACATTCCAGGATACCTAGTTATAGTCATTGCCTCATTTATCTTCTACCGCTTAAAGTTCCACGGGGGGATATTAAATTTCCTGTAATGATGCCTCTAATCAGAATGACATAAGGAGAATATCAAAGGAAGGAGATTTGGCGACGGAAATGATTCCCAAGAGTAAACTGCTAATCGCTGGCAACAGTCCTGCAGTGATTCATCACAGTGTATCTTTTAAATGATAAGAGCCAATGGTTTGAATGCTACTAGTTTGTGGGATTTGGTTAGATTATAAAAAAAAAAAAAATATTTTGTTGTTAATCTTTGTGGACTTTCTTTATACGTCAGTCTTATGTAATATTAAAGCTTTTAGAATAAAAATGCAAGTCTGCTGCCTCAGAGTTTACTGATGGTTAAGCAGGAAGATTTATAAAAATCGATATAGTGAAAAATCTAGCAAAACGTTTTCTCAAGTTATTACATATGCAAAAATTACGATTAAAAGTTGGTTACTTAAGATTAAGTTACTTAAAATGATTTTTCTTTACTGTCAATTGCGCCATTGTTCATTGTTCACAGCGCTGTATTTTATTCTCGTTGGTCAGAAAAATTTTAAATATATTCTGTAATAAAAAGGAAGTATTGGGATGTAGCAGAATAATTCTATTGTTGAGAACTGAAAGATAGAAAGTAGTAACTCTGGTGCTCGTTTCAAGGATATAAGTCACTTAATTGAAATTTCCTAACAATGGTTTGTATTCTATAAGTCCTCCATATCAAACTCCCAAACACTTGCTTCTCGGCATAGCACTTGCTTATCAGTATTCTTATGTCGGTAGTGGCCGAATCCATCGGACATTTAGCCGTCACATCACCGAGTACGTTTCCTAGGGTGCACCAAAGGCAACGACTGATATTTCACCTGCGCAAGAAAAATGGAGAACCGCATATATACAGCCAAGACTCAAGCGGTATTCGGAGACACCTTGGTTTCGGGTTCAAAGCTAGCTATGCTAACCACTGTACCACCCAGGCGGCTTATAGTCGATTCTTCGGCTGCTTTTTCACTAAATACTGGATAGTGAATATCCTAATTTTGGCTTATAAATGAAATATGAATAAATCATATTTCATTCCATTAATTCATTTTCTGTTCATCATACTCTGTACTAACAGTTTGCAGAGGACATCTGGTGGCATACACAATTCAATGTGATATTTCAAGCACGAAGATTACATACATTGCTCGTTATTACACCAGAAGAACAGCACAAAGTGGCCGTACCCAGCAACTAATCATTCAACCATAACAATCTAACACGTTGTCGTCTTGAATAATAGGATGTCTTGAATAGAAAAAAAAGTCAAATATTTTCTATGCGCTCGATGATTGATTCATAGGAAATAAATACAAAACTTGCTCAAATAATAATGTTTATACACTTGCGTATTTTTCTCTTTGGCTTTTTAGCGCAAGGTTCTGAAATTCTTTCAAGTATTCACTTAATTTCCAACTTCTTAAAGGCGTACAGAAAGTAAGATCTCTTAAATTTCAAAATGGACTCGTCCACATAGAGTTTGCTCATGAGTGTGTGCGCATGGCTCTGATTGATGAAGCAATAATTTTGAAGAGCTTAAAGAAAACGGGATCATCTAATGCTCTTGATAGTTCTGAACATCATTGCACATGACAATACAGACTGAAGAGTAACAAGGAGAATGACAGCAGGGACAATGGCGACGACTTGCAGGCTGAGCAGGCAGAACATACAGCAGTTCCAACAACATTAAATGATTTGAAGCTTAAGGAGTAGCAGTGAACAATAATAACAGATGGGCGAGAGTCAGGATACAGATAAGTAGAAATGATAATATCTTATTTGGTATTTAATTTTTATCTTATTATGTTTTCTTGTTGACATTTAGGTTTCTCTTAAATCAGTAATACCGTGATAGTTTCTGGTAATTTATCCATGAATGCTTTTCATATGTTACATTCTTATCGAATTCTTTGGAAATTAAATTATTCGTATTTCCCTTTGCGATTTAAGGACCATAAAATTAGTAAACAAATGGGAGGAAATACGCTATTAATAAGGTATCCGGTGCAATTTAAGAGTAGAACTATATAATCATCACTAGAATATATAATCATCACATCTAAATAAATAATTGTATTGTAATAAGTACTTCTAAATTAAAATATAACTTAATTGCTTTCGAGCCTAAAAATTTTATAAAATAATATTATCTCCACAAAAGGTATAATGATTGGAAAACACTGGCTGATTCTTTTTGCCAAGGCTCTCGTATGTTTAGTCTTAAACTAAAAAATTATATATAAAAAAAAATCTCATCCAATTCCAAATACAATTTAACAATTTACAACATATTATTGTGGAAGTATGTAATATGTGACGTTCTTTTATGATTGTAACAGTAATGTTCTAAGCTATGCCTCATAGATACAAGACG